GATTTTTAGTGAATTTATACAAAGTATGATATTTGTCTACTAAATTATTAGATAAAAAATTTATTCAAGTTCTTAGCAGGCTAAGGTTTTTCTACCGGCCAACATTACCAAGTATTTTTTCCCAAGTAACTAAATGCTAACCCTAATTTATTCAATAGGTATCCATTATTGACAAATAATAACAATGTTGAAGTACCTTGGCATCCAGGTGTATTTGCTGGGGCAGCGATCAAAAAAGAACATGACATTTATCTTTTAAACGAGTACTTTTGATTTTAAATAGCCTTTTTGACGCAGCAATATCAACTTTAAAAAATTGTGTAAATTAATAATTATGATTTCTTTAAATATTTGAAATTATTAATTGTATACTGTTGTTATACATCCAATAATCTTCCTTTTTTCACCACGCCACCATAACTATAGACTGAGTCGAACAAGTTGCTTTTTTGTTATAATAGTACCAATATTTGATAAAAGTTGTTCCAATTATTTGCAACATTTGGGGGAATTTTTTTTTTTTTTTTTGAAAGCCAATATATATTTTTAATGAGTTTATTCTTTAAAGGATGAAATTTATATATAGGGTTATAAATGATGTGGCTTTACGTTTTATGTTTGAGTTTCGAGTTAACTTTTTAGTTACACTCGTCATACAATGCTCGTCAATTAATTAATTTTACGAATTTTATTTACAATTAATTATCTTGCTTATAGCCTCTTTCTTGCACCTAGAAAGCTTCGGCGAATCTATATGCACACTCTATAGTACAAATAACAATAAATAAAGATAACCCTTCCACAAAGCAACAAAGGATCCTATAAAGTTCCCATTTTATTTACTTTTACTTTTCTTTTGTCGATTAAAGTCAGCCGTACATTTACAACGATTACTTTTAACATAATAACTGCCGACACTTGAATGCTTTTTCCAATCAGACCTAACGCCTTATATTCACACTTAAACAAAACAATTAAGCTCGTTTATAAAAATAAAAACGCTCAACAAAAACCAAAAAACCTTTGCTTACTTTACTAAAAGCGAATACCCAAAACATTTGCTTTCTACCAAAGTAAATAACCAAACCCAGATATCTATACCACTTTTATAACTAAATGGACAATATCAAACCTACTATTTAATTTTCAGCCACAAAAGTGCTTTATTTAACAACAAAGAATCATACGGACATTTACATAGTATTAGTATAATAATAAAATGTGATATTTCGGATTTTGTGTAATTTTAAACCAATAAGCAACATGTTTTTCAATCCTATGTTATATGTATTTTGCAATCCTATGTGAGTTGTGAGGATCTAATACGAATAAAAAAAAAAGGACCAAAAAGTTTTTTTTTTAACAAACCAAAATTTGTTTCCATTTACGATTTTATGAATGAAATCATTAAACAATTGGAGGAGTTTTTTATTATTATATATAGTTTGTTAATAAATTGGATGATTAAATTTAAAGGTAAATTAATAATTTATTTTAATGTTGACATTTATTATATACATATTTTCTAACGTGAAATGAGTATTTCTCTATTATTCAATAATATAGTAATAGCCATTTAATCATAAATAACACAAACAAAACAGGATGAGTAGGTGGATAATTAGATTATTTGGAATTTTATAGATAACTTTAATATTTGCATTTTAATTAGCATTAAAATTGATTAAATAGATTTTGGTTCATAAAAAAAAAATTTCGGGGTTGGTCACAACGGTTGATCATCAAAATTAATAAATATCATATTAATAAATATTCTTATATATTAACTAGAGTAACGACGAGTGGCGGACGATAACCACCACCACCACCATCCTTAAAACACTTACCCAGAAACCTCAGCTTTGTTTTGTTGCTGGGTTCTTTTGTTGTCGTCGCGTCGTTGTGGCATGATTAGAAATAAGTTTGTGATACGATTGACGCGTACACGTTAATTATTTATCCTATTAGTCACAGGACATGTCACATCAATTGATTTTCTATATGTGAAAATAAATTCGAAATTCGTGTCACATGAAGTTTTTTTAAAATATCTCGTTATTTTTATAATAAACTCGAACTTTGTTGTTAGAGTAAAATGAAAGTACTCCATTAAAGCTTTCTAATGAATACTCTTTCATATCAAAAGGTCTTCTCTACATGAATTCACTGCTATTCCAAAACGGTATTACTTTTTCACTTCAAAGCTCAGATTATTTCTCAATATCGCTTTAAAAGACTTGATAGTAAATGAGAAGGTGTAGAATACTTTAAGCT